CAGCACTGTGTAGCAATTCCCAGCGTGGTCTCTGTCTATAAGCACTTGAGCAGATAGACTTCCTTAGGTCAGTGCAGACCTGCTGCTGCCTGTGAAATTTAGAAGATAAGCTTTGCCTGTCAAAGATGAGATTATTGCTTATCAAGTTCAGGAGTCTGTGGAATAGATCGCAAATCACCCTCATCCCCTCCCACATGCTCAATGCACTGAGTGAGTGGGGCAGCACAATATGATCCCACCTCCTGCAGCCCTGGACCTGCACTTCTCTTCATCTGCTCTTTACAGATCTCCTGCTGTATGCTACCAGTTATTCTATCTCATAATTAAGTCCCTCTGGAGTACCCGCAAATTTGTTCCTACACCTTGCCAAAAGCAGTACTTGACTGAAGACATGCCAAGTGAGCTGCCCAGAACCATCTGAAGAAGCCTTCTAGGAGAAAAAAATAAAAATGCGGAACTTAGATAGGTGAGGTTTTCAACAGGGGCCAGCTGTGCCACAGAGGCTAACACAGATCTCAGCATGCACAGATGAAGAAAAAAGGACAGGATGTTTGTGAAAAGGGAAGGCATGGAGATAATCCAGGAAGAATGTGGGCATTTGAGAGGCCAATTAGACAACCTTGAAAGGTTGACTATGTCCTTTTAAGTTTTATAACAGTGCAAATGATTCATTCATCATTCTTTACTGGTCACAAAATGAACAGTTAGACTGTTCAATGACCTCAGCTCTCCCTTGGGTTCTTAACTCCAAGCCAGTCACTGCCCTGCTGCCAAAGCCCTAACCATAAAATGAGTCATTGATGCTTAAAGAGGAGAAACATTCTCTGTCCACCTTCCCCTGGGGTACAGCTCCCAGATGTTTGGTTATACCCTCAAAATACAGCACTAGAAGAAGGAGGAGGCCAGCCCAACAACAAGGGGTGCAGAGGTAAGGAGAAAGAGAAACATGTGAATGCTCTGGATGTCCAGCACTTCTGTCATCCATGGACATTTCACCTCTGGTGAGCTAAACCCAGCAGGCACTTCCCTCGAGGACACCATAATAGGCAATTCAGTCCCTTCCATTCTAACAGCAAAGTTTAACATAAATTCCAGCTTCTGTCTGGGGTAAGCTTTCTGATGACTGTCCCCACACTATGTAGTTAGTCAGCTCTCTCTGAGCTTTGAAATAATAGGAAAAACCAATCATTTCAATATGTATGAATAATGCTGCATTTTTGAGAGCGTTGTTGTCTTATTGCTGACTTGCAGAGAGGCTAAACACAACCTGTGAGCAGGGACATGGCAATCAAAGTTGGACAACCCAGAGTTTGTGCCAAGTCATGACCCTTTCTCACAGGCAAACTGCCCTTGTTCGGTTTTGTCTACTCCTGAGATCCTCTCCCTGTTTTCTGTTAGGTTTTCTTGACTGTCAGCATGCACAGGTGATACTTTTTACTCAGAAACAAGCCAGAAAATACAGACTCTTTCCATTTAGCCTCATAAATACACATGCACATGCTCAAAGGGATTAGGCTGCCAGCTTGGCTATGGGACTAGAGGTGATTTTCAAGCCCAAACATATCTCGATGCAAAAAAACCCACCCATCTATTTGCCTTTAATCCATACAGATCCACTTATCTGAACTCTAACTGGAGTTTCATTTTTCTCACCAACCAGCTGTGAACTAATTATGAGGACTTTAACTAGTCCTGATCCCTCTCCAAGCATATGGATCCAATTAAGTCAAACTGCAGCTGATTTTAATCAATCTTCCTTGAAGCAGCCAACCTTGAAGAATCTCTTCTTCAGCTGGAAGAGTAGAGGAGAGCAGGAAAAGCAGGAGAGTAGTATTTGCATAAGGAACACTTCACATTCGCTTGGTTGCCTGTAAACACAGGGCTCCTAGCAGTAAGAAATGCTAATTGAACACTCCTCACAACTCCTTCCTCCCACTTTATCCAAAAAGCACTGATTTGATCAGTCTCCTTTGTTCCTGGCATCAAGCTGCACTTTTCAACCAGCACCTCTGGAAGATGATCCAGATCATTTCAGATAACAAACAAGCCAAGCCTTTCTCCGAAATCTCAGCCTGCCCACCATGGGCCAAGTAGGAGCATCTCAGGTTTCCTGGAAATGTTTTTTTGCTTCATCAAAAGGAAGAAGGGTAGAGGAGATGAGATAAAATTGTGTGTTTAAACCCACTCTCTTCATATTATTTGAATCCCTCTCCTGAGCCAGGGTTTCAAATGTTTTCCTTAAGATAATATCCAGGGCACCAGGGAGGCAGTCTCAACCGGGTGTCATTTCTCTACAGCTCTACATCTCGTGTGTTTTTGTAATCTGAGGTTTTCATTAGCAGTAAAGACCTGGCCAGTGAGTGATATCCATGCTAAAGTCTTTATACCAGTGAAGGAAAATCAATGCAGCCTGCAGCTAGGTGTCAGGAGGCAAGGGGTTTTGGAAGACAGGGTGTGTGGAGGTGGAAAACACCTTCAGGCATAATTCAAGCTGTCCCCACACAAGCACAGAATACAAAAAGATGTCAGATGTTATATGGCTGTGGAGAGATATCAGCACCTGAGTTCACTTGCTAATACTGAGCTCAAGAAGTGTGAGTCACACACCAAAAACACCTTTCCAGATGCCCATTTGCCCTCTGCCCAGTCCATCAGGGTTTCCTTGCTCACAAAGTGGGCTTCTGTGCAGCAAAATTCCAGTGCCAATATTCAGATACAAAGGGATGTGAGAGGAAGAAGTTCTTCACAGAAATGGAGATTAGACATTGGAATGGGCTGCCCAGAGAAGTGGATTTGCCATTCCTGGAGGTGTTTAAGGAAAGCCTGGACATGGCACTCAGTGCCATGGTCTGGCTGACAGACAGGGTCTGGTGGTGTTGGGCCATAGATTGGATTCAATGACCTGAGGTCTTTTTCAACCGAAATGATTTCGTGGTTTGGAGACAAACATCTTTGAAACTCTACTCCTTTCCACACCTCAGTATATTCAAACTGACATTTTAAATTATAAATTATTAGCTGTATCTCCCACTTCATGCACCAAACACAACTTTGTGAACTCAACAGATTCAGTTCAGTGTAAAGCACTCAGAGTCTTAATTCTACAACCTGTCTCTTCCAAATTCCCAACTTTAATATGTCCCTTCTACATATCTTTCCTTCAGCAAATACAATTCCAGAAGTCAGAGGTTTTATTTTACAAGAAGGAACTGCAGATAAGGGTTTGTCAGAAATCACCCTCATTCTACTGGTTTAATGTCAGCCTTTTCTCTTACATCTTTATTTGATTTGAAGCCATGTTTCTCCCATTTTTGTGGTTTTAGTCATCTTCCTGTTCAATAAAACTTCCTCGTGACTTTTGTATGTAGTTTGTCTTGCTTTTTTCCCCTTCATGATACAGACTTTATTTTAACCCATCATTTCCCAATGATTCCTTTCAGAGGTGGGAATAAATAACATGTCAAACTAGTGACCTTATCTAAGTGCATAATGACATTTTCAGCATATTTGCTCAGTACTGATAGAGGTGAATTTCTAAGCTTATCCTTAACTTTCTGGGTTCTCACTCTAACAAACCTTCTTTCAATGTGTTTATAAAAAGAGTCATTTTAAACTTGGCCTGTCAAAGTATTTGATTCACAGGGTGAATAAAAATTGGGAAGGCTGATGTTTTTCCCTCTGAGGAGTTCTTGGCCATTCTGGTGGGCACACACTGATCAATACTGACACTTTAGCATTCAGCTGAAATATTCCTGTACTTGTGCTTTTTTCCCTACTCCCTCTCTTTTGAAAAAACTACTTTAGGCATCAAGTCCTCTAAGACACAAGTAAAGTGAGACTTTAGGGACAGGGGGAGCTACCTCCTGTTAAATTAGGAGTTAAAGCCATGTCCTCAGCCTTAGCAAGGGAGATGGAAGAGCACCATTACCTGAATTTCAGCTCACTAACTCAAAGATTTCCCTTTCCTAGACGTGCTATTCAAGACTTGGCATCTCAAGTCACTTGGTTCATCTTTGTATAAACGAACAAAGCAGATCTTTGTGATATTTCGAGATACCACAAGTAAAATAGGGAATTCCTCTGGTCAGGCCTTCTTGGAAAGCCAGAAACCACTCTAAGACCATGTAAGGCAGATTAATCATGACCTGAGCTGTAATCTGCTCTGAAACCAAAGCTGCTTGTGTGTTTCTTGGAGACCTAAGCATCCAAACACCAGCCCAAAGCTTTCATCTCCTTCTGATGACTGAAACCCAATTAAAGGAGAGCAGGGTGACAGGCTTCACACTAAACATGGCTCAGCAGAGATGCTCAGCAGCTCTTAGCTCCCTGCTTTATCAAAGCTGTCACTTCCCCTGTCTCCAGGAATGCGTTATAAAAATAAAAAAAATTTGATTCACGTCTAATAGGTGTCAAGATAAAATCAATGGTCTGGCTGAAATATGGGTAATTTCAAACCTGCAGGTTTTCTACCATAAAGTAATTAGCAAAATAACGGGAAAGCTAAAGATAAAAAGAAAGAAAAATTAAGAGAATGCTACAATGACAAATTGTTCAGCACATCAGAGAGAAAAGAAGGAAGAGATAACCTTGCTTCTTCAAGAAGGGTGGGTGGGCTTTGATTGAACCAACAGGGTCAGGTTCTTGTTTACTCCAGCATCTTTCAAACAGGAAATACCACAAAAGCTTGAAGCAACTCCCCTGCCCTTCCTCTGCAAAGGAAAGCTGTTCCTAGGGTGACAACAAAGTGAACAGCCAGTCCACTTCTCTGCTGCAGGTGGGATTTCACAGATCCATCCCGAGTGAAAAACTGAACCTCTCTGATGGCATGGCCAGAAACACAGGGGTGGCAGTGCAGGCAGCACAGGCTGCCCAAAGGTGCCTTGCCCAGATGGAGGGGAGGGAAGCTCCCTGCTGGGGGCACTCAGGCACATCTGCTAGAACAGCCATGGCACATGGACCATGCCAGGCTCTCCAGCTGCTCTGGACCACCACACTCCTACCTGCAGAGTGAGCTTCTCCAGCTGCATTTCCAGAGATCTGTTCTCCTCTGCCAGCTTGCTGCGCTCAGCTTCCAGCTCCTCAATTTTCAGCCTGGAGAAGAAGGGAAAATTAATAGACTTTGGGTGTCCCTGTGCAGTCCCACCACAAATAATCAAGTAAAGCATGAAACCAGAAACAGTATCAGATTATTCCTGCATTCAGTACCACAAAATTGCACTATTGAGGCAGGTAAAACATATGGTTAAAAGTGATGTGTTTATATGATGAGATTGTAATTTGTAAAAGTACATTAAAAATATACAATTTGAATATAAAGCACATATATTATAAAGTTCAGCTTGGATACCTTCTGAACCACAGACTGAGTCTAGACCATCACGTTTAATAACCACCAGCAGCTAAAACCTCCATGAGGCATCAAATCTCTTTTTGATCTGATTTATACTTTTGGCCTTCACAATACTCCTTGGCAGTAAGTTCCACAATTTAATTATGTGCTGTATGAAAAATTAGTTCAGTTTGCTTTATACTTCACATGTGATTATTTCGCTGAGCCCTGTTAGTTCTGCTATGAAAAGTCATGAATAATTGTACCATACTCTCCACTCCATACCACAGAACAGGCCTCTCCATTATTTCCTGAAGAATCTCAGTTTAGTCTTCCTTCACAACAAGGATTTTCCATGTTTTTATTGTTCTTCCTTATTCCTTCAAGTTCTATATAGACTTTTTGACATGAAATAAACTGGAACTACAAAGAGCACTCAGGTATGTTCAGTGGTACAATGAGGATTTCTGTTCTATTCTCAACTTCCTTTCCAGCAGCTTCTAGTATTCTATTTGTATGTTTAACTACAGAGCATACCTGATATTTTCAGAAAGCTGTTCATAACAATGTAAGATCTCTTTCTTGAGTGACAACAGCTCATTTAGAGCTCTCTGTTGTGGGAGTAAAAGTAAGGGTGTTTTTTTCTTATGTGCATGAGTTTGGCAATTATTGACATACAACTTCATCTCCCATCTCAAGCAGCATCCTAAGATTTCTTCTAAAATTCTGAATGCTCTGATAAGCTGAATAATTTCTTATTATCTCAAACTCTGTCACCTCACTACTCACAAACCCTTTTTATTTTCCCCCTTGTGTTGGACAAGTTCCCAATTCCCAATCAAAACCATTCTAGGACCTAGTGGAAAAATCCTCAGCATTGTGAAAAAAATTATTCTTTGATTCTCCATATTTTAACTTCGTACTATATAACCAAATTAACAGAAGAAAAAATGCATGAAGCTTTACAAAGTAAAAAAAATCTTGTATTATCTCTGGCTCAGCAAATTCTGGAGACAGGAGAGCCTCCTGGCAAGGTACCCAGATGTTCTGTCCTGTTCACATGGGCACCCACCACTGGCCACTCCCACAGACAGTACATTGGGACAGCCAGACCTCTAGGGTTTATATATTCTTATCAATCCAACAAAGAATCTCCTTTTTTTATTCCATCAAAGTTTCTTTATGACCTTTGGATCAAAACTTTTTGAAAGGTCAAATACATTAAATTAACCATACCAGCCTTAGACAAGTGACTGGTGAATCCTTCAGAGAACTCTATCAAACTTGTTAGGCAGGAGATATATGTATAAAAGATTGGATATAAAAATTCTGCTTGCATTTAAGTACAGAGATCAAAATCCTGATGTTCCTTCAAGACCCTCCCCTTCCACACGTTAACTTCTTATTAATTGTGCAACTAATTAATTGTGCAATATAGAATAACACTGATCTTTGGATTCAATTTTCTCAGCAGCCTTTGCTCAGAATATTCTTTAAAAATTAATTACCTTGCTTAATACTTTTAAATTATCTAAATTAATCTGAAAATTCTTGCACCATACAATAAAGTATGTGCCCATCTGCCAATATCCCAAAATTATGCATCAGCAATTTCAGGTACAAGGAAGAAGCCATCTCTCCTATTCATTTGGCAACAGTTCCAAACTTTTCCATAGAAGCAGGTTGATCTACATCATGTTTAGCACAGAAATGTCTCCCTTACAAATATACAGCTTGGATTGCTTAAATTATTTGTAAGCCTGACCCCTGCTGGCAATTTTCAAATATTATAAAGTCTCATTTTTTCTGCTTTTGGAAGCCTCTAAAATGCCAAGGAACAGCTTTAGAACTGTCCAGGCCATTAAAAAATATCATCAATAACTTTCAGAAGAGACACCAAACTAGTGGGGAAGGAGGATACTGCAGCAGGAGACTGAAAAGGTCAGGAAAAATGGAAATTCAAAGTGGAATTAATGCTTTTAATGATGCATTTCTAAATGGATTGCAGAACAGGCCACGAGGAGAGCAACACTCTTCTCTGAGGAACAACAGCGCAACAGCTCCTGAAAAGTAAAGGTCAGAGCCAGACACAGGACTCTCATCAGTACTTTCTCCATCCTTGACATGCTGAATTTTAATTGGGAACAAATTTCTCCCCATCCAGCCTCTCCAATAGTGTGATGCTGCTGTTATCTGCCTGCAGAACTTGACTCTGTGGGGAGGTTTAAGATCAGGCCTCTCAGTTGCCCTTTGAAAATCACTCACAGCAGCAGCCAGAAAACACTTCCCAAAGACCTGAGACGCAGCTGTGATGAGGGTAGATTCAAACCATTACATTTTTGTGCTATTTCACCTGCAATTTTAGGATTCAATAATCTGTTTTTGCCCTTTGTGCCTCGCTACTGAGCACACCATGATTTAAAGCCCGGGGCACTCCCAGTCAGGCAGCAGATATTCACAGAATCCTGAAATGGTTCGTGGTGGAAAGGACAGTAAAAATAATTTCGTTCCTCACTCTGCCATGGCAGGCACACCTTCCCCTATTCCAGGATGCTCCAAGCCCCATCCAACCTTGGACACTTCCAAGGATGGGGCAGCCTCAGCTTCTCTGGGCAACCCTCTCCCCATCCTCACAGGGAAGAATTTCTTCCCAATTTCCCCTCTGGCCCTGGCCTGTGTCAGTTTGAAGCCATTTCTTCTTGTGCTGCCACTGCATGCCATGGTCAAAAGACCTTCTTCAACTCTCTTGTAGTCCCTTTAGGTACTGAAAGGCCACAGTCAGGTCATCCTGGAGGACTTTTCTTCTCCAGAACCACCTGCAACAGGCACAGGAGCACCCCTGAGCTGAGGGTCAGAGCCTCTCCTCCCTGAGCATGGCCTTGGGCTCACCCCCAGTGAGCTGCTGCTCCTTCCCAGTGTCCCAGCTATGGGGGCATCCTCCTTTCCTGACACAAAGTAGGGTGTAGGGCTTCCTGCCATGCTCTGGGCAAGGTCAGCCCATTGAACCAGGGGCACTCCCTGGGTCTCCTTCAGAGACAAAACCTGCTGCACTGAGGAACAAGAACATTGCTGCAACCTTTGTGCCGAGAGGATTTTGGGACTGATTAGTGCTTTCACTATTTATCTCTCTCATATCTTATTTTTAACACTGTTAAGTGTCCTGGATCTCCAGTGGGAAAGCATTCAGAACCATTAGCAAACAGTTTGTCCTATTCCAGCTTTGCTTCCCAGCCCCCTGGGAAACACTTCCCAATGGCAAAGAGAGAGAAGCAAGGGAAATCCTATCTATATATAAACACAGCAAAGCATTTGCAGCTGGTGGTTAAAATGTGGAAGTCAAATATTGAAAAATATTTACTGGCTTGGCATTTGGATTTTTTTCATTTACATATTTTTTTCATGAAATTCACGTATAGGGATGGTTGTGTACTGCTTTGGGATGCACCAGCATCCACAAAGGCAGCCTTGGTGCACATTCCTTGTGCCTTTTCTCTCCAGGAACACCTGCACAAAGGAGGTGATGCTATTTTATCACCAGTTTGCAATCCTCCACTTGTTACATACTGGAGTTACCTTCAGGTCGGGAGAACAACCCAAGACAAATCCGTATGAGCACCATGAAAAGCAGGGTACAGAAACACCTGGGCACAGCACAATCATCTACCAGCTCAATTTTTGGCCCAGAATGGTCTGGGTTAAAAGGGACCTTAAAGATAATTCAGTTCCAGCCTCCCCACCATGGGCAGGGAAACCTTCCACTAAAGCAGATTCCTCCAAGCCCCATCCAACCTGGCCTTAAAAGCAGGTGTCTGTTCTAAAAACAGCCTTGTACCACAAGGAAGGAATACCAGTTACTTTCTGAAATATCAACACCATTGTCAAGTTTCGTGATACAGGAAGAAATCATTTGAATTAATTTCTGGGGAATTCACTAACTTCTCCATACAGGGGTTTGAAAACATGAAAATATTTAATCTCTGTTGAAGATGTCTTCACCTGTCTAGATTTTCCTGTATCAGACAGCTCAACCAAGAGCTGAAGGCTCCACAGGCATAAGGTAAATTGATGCCACCTCCACAGCCTTTCACAAGATCAAATTTAGTGCAAGAATACAGATTCATTGGCATTTGCTCAGCCTCACGGATTTTCCCTCTTTTAAAACCGAGCTTCTTATTGCCTCTACCGCATCATTATCTCAAATCAGACAAGGGAATGAGGGAAAAAAACCCCCACCTACAGCCTCAGGTCTCCTGAAATGACACTTGTGAGAAGCAGGAGACATCCCACTGTGTGTTTTCAGTCTGTCTAAAAACCTTAGACTGTGAGACAAGGCTGCTCCTACCTCAGAAAGGAAAAAAGGGGGCAATCTGTTGGATTTTCAACAGCATCCAGGCACTCCAAAAGTCTCTCTGAGTCCAGAGCTTTTCAGTGGAATTAACCAGTGGAAACTCTCCCCCCACCATCAGCCTTTTATCCTGGTTTTATTGGTTTTTAATGCTCTCAGCTGTGTGATGTGGTTGCCTGTGGTTATCACCGATGAGGACACGTCTCACAGAGGCCCCATCGGCCAAGGGGGCAAGGCCATGTGGAAAAGCTATTGCAGAACAGGGAAACACTGAATGGAGCAGAAAACGTATGTGTTGGGAAGATGCTGTTAAAGGATCCAGATGGCATTGAGATGGTGTTAGGAGCAGAGCAGACAGAATTCCAGCAAGTGTGACTAATGGGCATTGGCAAGGACCTGAATTTCTTTTGAATTACTGTAACTCTAATCAGTCACTAAATCCACAGAAAACATTTAGGATTTACTGGGCTTGCAGTTTGACAGCAGAAAGAAAAAGTTCAGATTTGTTCCAGCTGAAAAGGTCCTTCAGCTGTTTTCACTTAAGTATTTAGTGGAGTTCTTTTAAAATATATCGCTTTTATTTATAGATTCTGAAATACCAGTTTCTGCACAGTTATCACCTTCCCTCTAAAAGGTGCTAATGCCCAAATGCTGTACCCTACAGTGCAGGAACTCAATGGTTTGACCACCGTTAGTTTTCATAGGATCTGCAGAATATAAACAAATATTATTTCAGAGGGAGCAGCAAAAAGTGTGAGAAATGACAGCATTAGCACTGCTTTTATTGTCTCTCCAGAAATGATGATGCTGGGAGAGAGTTTCACATTTAAAGTTATAAAAGGTCTGACGAAATAGCACTTTGTTCTCAAGAGAAGGAGGAAAAACTGATAAAGTCTTTCAAGTTTCTGGCTGAAAATTTACTTTCCATACTAAAGAAAAATGAGACAAAAGGTATTTTTCTTAAAAGCTCTCGTTCACTCACAGGAGGTAAATACAGATTCAAAGGATTAATATGGATTTTTTTCCTCCTTTATGTCTCCCATGCTTTTGTTTTCAGAAGTGAGCGCCTATCCACAGGGCCTATATGGAAATGCCTGGAGGCTCAACAGTCCATTCCTGTTCTGCACACTCTTCTTGCTGGCTTCAGTGGTTCCTCCTATTTTTCACATTCCTTTGTGACAGCAGCTAAGAGGGGAGGCTGGGCTCAGCCCAGAGGAGCTGACAGGCCATCCTGTAGGTTACAGGATTTCAAAGACTACAATGAACTACAGAAACGGAAATAATTCTGTCATAAACTCTGGCATTTCTCCCCCCACTTTCCAATCTGGAAGATGGTATTCTTCCCCATTTTCTCTCAGAATGAGTTTCTGGCAGTGGCGTGTAGAAGGAAGGAGTAACAGTGGAGTTTGTGTTTTCTCTCCTTAGCAGCTACATAAAATTGAGTCAACTGGTGCTGTTGAGGCCCAAGGAGGAGGATGAGCACGGCAGACCTAATCCCCTCCTATTCTGATCCCTATTCTCCTCTAAACCCCTTCTGCTCTTTAATCACACCCACCCAGTTCACTGCTGCTGTAGGGAGAGGACACTGCCCAGAACACGCCCCAGCTGAGCCACGGGGCGTGTTCTGTTGTGGATCACAGAACTTTCATCCTGAGCTCCAAAGGGCTGGGAGAATATAGTGATTTATTCTGTGCTCCTTTGAGGACTCTCTTCTGTGAAGAAAGAACTCGGCCCAGTTTCTTGAACAATGCCCAGAAAATGCAAAATAAAGTCCAACCATATTCATTGACTGCTTAAGTCTAGAAACATAAGAAAAAAATCTTTATGGAGTCAATTCTGAGATTTCTCTCCACTCAGTTGTGGAGTGCCTGAGAGAGCCAGGAGATGTCTGAAGCAGTAATAGATGCCAGCAGTAAGGAAAAAGGAGCAGGGACTGGCTTACAGTGCTCCAGCAAAGAAAGCTTCAGCAGAAAGAAAATGCCTTGCACCAATTCATTTACTGTTAGAGCTGAGCAGTGAAAAGAGTGATCAAAATCAAACAAATCCAAGCTTTGTGGAACAGCTCTGTAACTAAATAACCAGAATCAGGGCCTGGGACAAATATTTAAATCAGCCATGAGAACAAAAAGTGGTTCAGTAAAAAATTACAGGAAAAAATAGTCTGGAATTAGAATATGGAGCTGTGGCTGCTATGCACCCATAGCTTCAGGAGCAAGAGAGATAATAAAACCCAAAATATCAACATGAAACAACTGCAGAAGCTTGGCCTCTGCTGAAACAACCTTCAGAGTATGGCCCATCACTGGAAAACAGCTCTGCACCACCAACCACCACACTGGGAACTCGCCTGGGTTTGGGTCATACTTTGTGTGAAAGGTTTGACACCATGCCATGGAAGGAGGAGAGAGTGAGATTAGTAATCAAATAAATTCCTTAAAAACAAAGAGGGGAAAACATTACTTAGGAGCTTTAGGGCTACTATTGAGCTGAATCCAACACCACAATCCCATTACAAGCAGATTTTTGTGAGCTCCACTCATCCCTGCCCAGGAAATAGATTTTCACTCAGGGCAGAGGCAGACATCTCCATCCCCACTGCCACACCACGGCGTGGTCTGGACTATGTGGTAGTCCATCCCTACACATGCTCTCCCTGAAGCTGCTCAGGTAATAGACAGCAAATGCTGTCAGAGAAGCTGAACACCAAACAATGAGTCTTGGAGGGGAAAATGAAGAGCCTGAACATCTCCCAGATGAAAGGGTGCTGCAGCAACTCCAGCCAGGGAGAGAGAGACTGGGGAAGCACTGTAGAAAAACTCTGTAAACCTGCAGGTCCCAGAAGACAGCAAACAAGCTGCTGGCTTTACTGATACACAGGCACATTATTAATCAGGAGTGACAGGTTAATGCTGCCAAGGAGGTGCTGAATACTCCTGCAGCAGTGCAAACCTCAGGTTTCAGAGGGTCCAGTGTGTCTTAGCACAGGAAGAGCCTGAATGAGCTAAAAAAAAAAAAAGATACAAAAGGCAAAAGTTGATGAAGACAGGTTTATCTCCCTGAAAAAGGGCAGTCATAGCATTCTCTCCTTTAGCAGAACTCAAACATATGATAGAATAAAAAAAGGAGATGTATGCCTTGGGCCTCCAGAACTATTACAGCACCTTGAGGAACTATAGGAGCAAGTCCCCAAGATTAGGTGTACAACCCTAAAATGTATTGGAATAGCTTAGCTGAACGTGTTATTTTCAAACACCTCCCTCCTGCTATGGAACTGGGCTTTCAAAGCTGTAAAACAAGCTCCAGAGGCAAAGCACAAGAGCAAAGCCATAACACACAGGCCAGTAATTTCTGCTTTCTGCAGGATTCTGCTTGCTGCAAACCCTTGCTTTCAGTCCTATGAGGCAGTCACACTTTATTGTGATGGAGCTGAAAATATAAAAGAATTAAGAAGTGAAAGTCCAGCCAAAGTCTTACATCAGTTGAGAATAAAATACTCGGCCTGTGAGGACCTGATTTGCCCAACTGAAATAAAAGGAACTTTATTAAGCACTGAGAAACAGATGAACTTCTTTGTGCTTGGTATTTATTGTGTCACCTGCTTTGCAATGGAATCTATAAATGCTTTATTAAATACATGGAAAGGTTGTTTAGCTTCACTGTAGCTTTTGTAAATGCTCATGTATCCTCTGCTGAAATGCTGTTTTGTAACTTCTCTTTCACTGAATCACAACAGGTACCCCTCTGCCATCTCCAGCAATGCACAAGGGGAAACATCCCTCTTTTATCTCCAGTGCTACACATGCATCAGCAGTACAAAAGCTGGATTCTAAACCTCTTCACACACATGCCAGCAGATCTTGTATTTACAGTCGAGATTTGGTCAAAATAACAAATAAACAGCAATGCTATTTCCACAGGAAAGAAAGTCAAGAGAGGGAACAGTGATGCAGGAGCCAGGTTTATGAATTAGCTGACACCAAAAGACCCCAGACATCAGAAGAAAAGAGCCTGAAGCCTCCCAAAAGATAGCAAAGCTTATGAAGTATCTAAATGCAGGACATATCATGGGCTGAGTGTTTCTGCTAATGCTTCATGGGGTTCTCACGTCCATAAAAGCTGATGAGAAAGTAAAACTTGTGCTCAGAAAAAGAACATCCTACTTCAGGAATACAAGGAAAACATATTCTGATCACCACCCCGTTGCCTGAGCAGCAGGCAGCCTGTGGACACAGGCAGTCTGTACACAAAGTTCTGCATGCACTATAGCATGGTGGGCCCCTGTACCTGCTGCTCCACCAGGAGATGACAAAAACAACAGCAGGCAGTGAAACTACCCCAGGCATTGCCCTTCTCTTTAGTTCCACCAAAAAGGGGAGAATCTGCTCAGCCTTCCCCTTGCTTTGCCTACCTGAGTGTGTCCACCTCCTCCTTGGTGATGACAGTGCTCTGCTCAGCCGTGCACTGCTGAGACTTCAGGACCTTCATCTCCACCTCCAGCTGCAGGAGACAAAAGGCATTAGTTCCTGCAGCACTGCTAAGGGCACACACGAACAGCGAAGGGAGCAGGAAATCATGAGGTTCTGCACAGGTCAGACTTCTCATGATACAGATCTGAAGCACAATTTCTCTTGTGTTTAATGTCAAAACCTCACTTAATTCTCCTTCCCTTTGCAATTCCTTTCACCTTTCCAGACATTTTCTCCACAACAGATGAGGCACAGAAAGTTGAATGTTACTAGCAAAGCTTCTGCTTCTCTTTCAGGTATTTCCCCTGTTTTCCCCCATGGATAATGGGATGCAGAAGACTCTGTGTGGCATTAGGAGGTCGCTGGGACCTGAGGTTTAGTATTGATAGTTCAACCTCACTCAATTCCTCCCCCAGAAGAAATGAACCACAGGATTACCCTGCCTTGTCCACAACAGCTCTGAGACACATACATTGACTCCAAAAGACTGAGGAATATTTCCAGCACTTTCCAAAACACACTTCTAGCTCTAGCTGCTCAGGTAACTCTGGCTGAACAAACAATTATGAATATTTTCTGCCTCTGGCTTTGTTCGGATAGGCACTCACAGGAAAGTATTTCAACACTCTACAGACATGAGAACTTCTTACTCAGACCCTACAATTCCCAGGCTCCCTGACTTGTAGCAGTCTGGATCCCTAATTCAGAGATCATGACAATGCACAGATTGATAAACTCCATGTGTTACCTGTTTCTAAACCCCTCAGAAAATGGATTTATTATGAAGTGTAAGCAGAGACAAACTACCTAGAGGATACTTAAACTTCTGCTCCAACACCTTCTCCTAGCTTAGACCTTCTTCACCCACTCATGCTTGAGATTCTGGACTTCCTTTTGTCATCTGTCTTTTTACCATCTGTCGACTAATTCTCCTAATAAATATGTTGGCTGAAATTATATTTTTTCACCCAGGAGGAAAAAAAAAATAGGCAATCCAGCCTTAATTATAAAATCAAAACTTATGACCACAGAGAGTTCAGTGCTCAGCATCAGGGAAATAACCCATTAATACACCATTCCCTGCAACAGCATAGATTAGACTTGTAGAGCAAAATCACACTGCAAGGGCAAACTTCTGCAAGCTTTTTGCAGAAACTCTCCAATTTTACAAGAAAAAGGAGCATCTTGTCACAGACAGTCATATTGCTTAGACAGAACTGCCTCTTTGCCCTTCCATACTTACCAGAAGAGACAGGCAGAGCATGGCAGTGCTGTTGGCAGGAAAGGGCAGAAAATAGATGGTTGGATAATGCTCATACACCCTTCTGACACCAAAGGAAGAGAGCAGAAGAAAGCACGAAAATATGTTTTAACCTAATTCCTCCTGCCACCCCAAAAAGCCCCGCATCCTTCCCCCTGCCTGTCAAGAAACATCTAGGAATAAAAAGTAAGCAAAGGCCCACCTGCACCATCAGGCTGTACAAATGTTAACGCATATTAGCTGCCTGATAAGATTATCACAGCCAGAAATGCTTCCCTCAATTTTCTGATTACTGAGCTTATCTCTCACAGCTCAGCCCATCACAGATGGCTGGGGATAAAGCAAGCACACCAGATAATTCCAGGAATGTGAATAAAAGGTACTGGGATGAGGAGTATGCTTCAATTCCAACCTACTTCTAGCAGGAAAACACTCATTATGCTTCCTGTTTCCCATGTCTGCTGAAGCCTGGACGTGTTTGCTGTTAGGAGTTTGAGGATGTTTTCTGGGATGAGTGAGGGCAGCACTTGAAGATGGAAGAGCTGCTGAGTTATTTACCACTGGCTAAGAGGGCTCAGTCTCGAGTCCATGTGGCACCTGCTGACCTACACAGATAAATCACAGCCACATTCTCGGGGGACAAGGGGGACATTCCTCACAGATGGGCGAGGAATCTGCTGCTGTGATCTGAGAGCTCTTGTGGTGGCTGCACAGAGAGGGGAAAAACTGTGACAGGAAAAGGAGACAGGAGAGTGAACACACACGAGCTTGAGGGAGCTTGTGAGAAGCATCTCACTTGATGCACAGCGGTGACAAATTAGTGCCAGGTACGCTCAGCAGCGGCAGGATGAGATTCTGCTGTGTTTCTAAGAATAAGCTGCTGAAGGAGAAGGAGGAGGAAAGGGCACATGGGCTGTAAGGGCATTTCATCTCATTTTTATGTCCTCTCAATTTGCAAGCACCAAGACTCCCTGGACTGAAAACATGGTGTGCCTGAGGTGAGAAGGGACAGGAGGACACAGTGATATCACTACAGATGAAACTGGCTCAAGGAGTGAGATGTTGACACAGACCTGCTGCCCAGAACTAGGATTAAAACTACTGGAGAATTTAAAGCTCAGTCCAAGACACAATTTTGTGCCCCAGGAGCCATTCAGAGCTCACTAATTGTTTATGAAATAAGAAAGTAAAACAATTAAGGTATTAAATACTACATTCAAAATGTACTGTTTCCAGGTTTCATCCCTAGCAGTCATTAGGAAAACATCCCTTACTGCCAATCTCACTGAAGATATTAACACATCCAGATATTAAATGTGCTATTTATTATTATATTATTAATGTCTTTTCCACGACAAAAATAGTTAATTGAGATGAGATGGAGTGGCTTACTCCTGGGACTCAATTCTGCTTTGCTGAAGGCAATACAGTATAAGCAGCAAGATAAAACAACAATGAAGAGAATGGCAAAAAATCAGGAATCTGTTGACAAAGCCCAAGAGGTGAGGAGCTTTCCAAGACCATTCCCTTTGACACAGCCTCATGATAGCTCTGGGAATGGGTGATGAGCATGAAATAATTCACCACAGGACCAGTTTGTCCCTTCCTGTCCACTTGTCCTCCCAGTACAAGTGCTAGGGCTCAAGAAAGGGTAAGGAAAGGAAGAGCCAAACCCCTCCTCCTACTTTCTCTGCCTAATTCCCATCACATTCCTCTTCCTAAATTAATTTCCAGTCCTGGTCTCATGTTCAGCAGATGCCACTTCCAGCAGGCATTTTATGCTTTTTGAACCAACTCACTATTCCTAGCTAAACTCTTCCAATTTTTATCAATAATTTTATGTGACTGGCTGAGTTAAACTTTTAATGCTTTGAATACATTAAACTAGTAGAAGTCATTACCAAGCAGAGAGGGGAAAAGGGCTGCTCAAATTACAGCTCACTGCTGTATTCCCCCATTCCATACCAAACGACCCAGGTCAGCCTTGATCTTTTAACTGGCATTGAGAGCAGAGAGGGAACACTGTTGTGAAAATACAGCATTGCACCTCTTGTCCTGAAAGCTGCACAAGAGGGACCTAAGGACCTACATCATCAACTTCAGGGATTATATCAGAACCCCCAGTGATAGTCCCACCCTACAGAACACATTAGCAACTTGGAAAAAAAAAACAAACAAGTTGTTATTTTAATAGTTTTTAAAGTTACCTACGGTTTTTATGATAGGGCAGTATAGTGAGTAATATCAGAGCCCATGGATGAATAAAATACATGAACACATATTTAATATTTTGAGGATGTTTTCATCTCAAAATATACTGGTGCCCCTTGTTCTCAGCCTAAAATAATCCCATTTATCCTGAATTATTTTATCTCTTTCAATTCTTAAGCATGAATTCCAGCACAGCTTTATTACTCTCAATAAAAAGTGATCAGGACAAATACAGAATATAGACTAATTTTAGAATGCCCATTGTCAAAAATATGCAAGTGTCCCAAAAGATGAAGTGCAAATAATTTTTCCAAAATAAGTACTGCCATTATTATTTACCAAAGGAGAAAGAGAGGAAGGAAGAACATGGATGCATTTTCATCTAGTAGTTAATTATATGAAATATCATTCTTCTTTCAGCCTTACTTTTCAACCTGCCTGGACAAGCTTCCAAGAAGGTGGTTCTCCTCCAAGTGTTAATGACATAGCAAACACCCACAGCAGGGTAAGAAATATGTTCCTCACTGCTTCTCTCTTCTGTAGCAATTTTTTAAAGACATAGGAGATGACAGGAAAAACAAAATTATTAATTCATCTCCTGACAGCTAGAAGAAACAGAACTTTAGAGAGTTGATTTTCTTGGTATACTGGCATTTGTCATTTCTGACCCATATTTGTCCCTTCCAAGCAAGCACCCTGAGTTGGCAATGCCATGGACCTGTTGTTCCTCACACTCAACTCCAGCAGGTTTTAGCATTAATGGAGAAAAGCTTTCCCAGAGCCTCCCACTGACCACTGCTGTCCACATCCCATTTTCAGAGTGAGGCTCATCACAGGTCAGATCAGTCAGCCTTGAAAACCACTTTTACAAACTTCTGAAAATTTTAAACACACTGCCCAAAACAATGACCAAATCTCTGTTCAGGTGACTCATTTTAGCTAATAAAGGACTCAAAATCTAAAGTATTTCAACTCACTGCCAAAGGAGGATTTGCATGTTGAAAAAAAAGCAGGGGGAGGGGCTGGTTTACTCGCCCACATCATGTGCACACATTTCACAGAACACATGCTGGAGACATACAGTTATTATTTGAATAATGAGTGCATTTTAGTGAGGGGCTGATACAGCAATCTTATCCTGATGAAGTGTGTCTGCACGTCATTCAGCATTTTTGGAATTGTAAAAAGCAGGAAATGCTGAATCCATTATAAATGTCTAAAGGTTTATTTAACAATGGGCTGATGCAACATCCTTTGAAAGGCCTTTCCTCAGCAAAAGAGCTGATTTTGAACAGCAGCGATAAATGGGAACTGAATTGCACAGAGCCAGCATGGAAAGGTGAATTGAGAGGTTGTGTTGGACTACAAGCCTCAACACAATTCAAGGAGCTATTTCAGTACCTAAATATTTAAAATGTATGAACACCAAGCAGACTTGGAAAAGAAGAGTGTGCACTAAAATAGACAAGAACAGAGAAAGGGGACTCCGGGTGTGACCTGTACCCTGGGGTTTGAGAACAGGCAAAGCAGGACCTTGACATGACAGTGGTGCCATTTGT